AGTACTTTGCGCATTTTCCTTTTTCAAACTCTTTCGTGATTCTGCTCCAAACATATTCATTTGTTCTTTCTTTCCAACTGATGCCCAGCAGTCTTCTGTAGCAATTAAATTTGAAAACCCTAATGATTTTCTTGGTCCTTTGAGTCAAAGTCCAGCTTTCACAGCCGTACATTAAGATGCTTTTTACAAGTGCTTGCATTAGCTGGATTTTAGTTTTCACTAGAATATTTCTTGCTGCCCAGATCTTTTCCAGCTTAGCTAGAGCGCTAGTGGCGGCTCCTATCCTGCATTTGATTTCCAAGTCGCTCGTACAGTCTTCTGTTATTGTAGCTCCTAGGTATTTGAATGCCTTTATTTGTTCAAGGTCTTCTCCATCTAGTTGTACTTTAATTACCTCATCACTGCTTTTTCCAGTTATCATGGTTTTGCTTTTTTCTGTATTTATTTCCATACCAAATCTCTTAGCTGTTGTGTCCAGCCTCTTTGATAAATCTGCTAGTTCTTCTGTGCTGTTGGCTAATATATTAGATCTATATCATCTGCAAATCTCAGATTGTTAATTAGAAGTCCTGAACATTTTGCTCCACCAGCGAAACTTCCCAATGTATCCTGCATGATTCTTTCAAGAAAAAGGTTGAAAAGCGTTGGTGATAGTATACAGCCCTGTCTAACTCCAACTGTGCTCTTGAACCAATCGTAATAAGTGTTACCTACTAAAACGGTTGTTCTAGCTTTTCCGTACAGGTTCTGTATGAGTTCGGTCATTCCTTTGCCAATGTTGCACTTCCTCATTGTGTGCCACAGTGCGTCGTGCCACACTCTATCAAAGGCCTTCTTGAAATCAATGAAATTGTGATAGACTTTTGTGTGATGGTTTCTGTTCTCTTCACACAGTATTCTCAAATATATATATATATATATATATATATAAATATATATATATATATATATATATATATATATATATATAAATAAATAAATATATATATATATATATAAATATAAATAAATATATATATATATATATATATATATATATATATATATATATATATATATATATATATATTTATACATATATATTTATATCTATCTATCTATCTATCTATCTATCTATATATATATATATATATATATATATATATATATATATATATATATATACAATACATCCATACATGATATAAATATATGCATATATATATTTATCTATCAATCTTTGACTGGTCATTAAATTATACACATGTAAAAATAAATTCAAAGTTAGGAGTTAAATGGAGCTGTGTAAGGAGACATTATATTATTCAGTAACATTGTGTATATGTATATGCATAACATATTCATAGGATCCAAAAGTTATTTTTTGGTGCTAACAGCTTCACTACTGCCATCAGACACACAGATTGCATGTTCTCTTTGCTGACAGTTATATATACTACAATCTCTCTGTACATGGCGATTTATCATAAACACACAAAACTGTAAAGTGGATAAGGAACACTTTTAACTTGACCTAGGCTAGGTTATTGCTTTCTTGTCCTCTGATGAAATCAAGCACCAGCTCTGGAAGTGTAAAGAAATGCTTTATCCAGAGCTCTGTTGTACCCCCTTGGCTCTCAAGTGAGATAATCTCAGAAAACCACTTGTTCCTGCATGGCTGCTACCAATCATCTCCAGCTTCCCAAACTTTTGAATAAATAGACGTACAGAACTGAAGTGAATTAAACTGCTATGTCTAGTAAGAACATATGTAACTGTTTACATGTGGTAAACCTCAAGTTCACTGTAGGTCAAAGTTCTTATCACCAGGTCTTTTTTTAAGAGAAGGGTTTTAAGTGGGTTAGTCTAATGGAGCTCCTACTGCTCCCCTCTCCGGGAGAATTTGTTGGGAAAGCCTTTGCACTTTCTCCTTACTCCTTTGGTAAGTGTATTAGCACACAAGCACACAGGCACACATAGGCACCCACATCCACATGCCAGACACTTTTTACTGATTTTTATAAAATATCCTCAATTCAACAAGATTCCAGACCTGAAACCTCCCTGTGTACAAAATTAGGAGGGGTTGCCAAATATCTAAATTCCAACTCAGATTTGATGGTGATTACAAATACTACCACAAAACTCCCCTTATCCTCACTGGATGTGGGTGATCAGAATATTCTATATCTTCATGTGTGTCTCTTGCAATGGTCCCAATTCTCTTAACATATGTAGTACAGCAAAGGTATGCCTCTGGCTTACTTATCTTTCACCTCCAAAACAGCAAAGTATTTATTCCCCATTTACATTATATAATTTCTCTCACACTGTTGCATGCAGGACAAGAGATAACAGCAGCATCCACACATGGATAGACAGACAGAGAAGAATTATGTGGTGTAAGAAGAGGGATTACAGCTTTGAGGTCATTAAATATATGAATATAGATGTCATTTTCAAAAATCTTAAGGCTTAATTATACAGTAACAACTTAGAGGAGAGACAAACTATCTATTTAATGAGAAGTCTAATGGATATGCACATGATTCTGTGGATTTACCTTAGTTTATCTATATATACACATTATATTTTTTTTTACATTTGACCTTATATATATATAATATTCATTTTAAGACATCTATAGAAGGTGAAAAGTATTACAAATAAGTATATCGCTTATTAAAACTAAATTTTCACTCACACAAGTAAAAACCAATTGTCATCAATAACCCATTGACTGGTGCTGTCAAAATGGCTCTGACTGCATCTGATCATATGTGATTTCCTGCTTTTAAAAATTTGGCCACAGAAATGGTGCAAAACCACATCAGCTAGTGAGGAATAGCGCTCAGTTTTCAACAAAATGCCAAAGTGTCCAGTATGAGATCCCCGCCAGGAGGTTGGTTCCATCAGTAGCTCGAACCACGTGGATTTGTGTAATATGATGGAATATAAATGTTCTTTTTTAGTTCTACTTTTTATTTTCCTCTTTTTTATTGTGACATCTTGCCTAATCACAAGCCTGACACGAATGACTCATTGCAACCATAATGCATCATTCACCTGTCACAATAGTACAGGGCATATATAGTATTTCACATAACTGTTTCAGAGATTTTTTTTTCTATGTTGTGTTACATAACACTGAAACCAGGATATTTTTTCTTTCTTTCTTTTTTTTAAATACTTTTTCCAGATATTTTGGTCGGAATATCTGAAAACTGACACACACAGGATGACAATGTAAACAATCACTGAGACTGGGAATGGGTTAATAAACACAATCCAAGAGTGGAAAATTAAATACTCATTCGTTAATACTACTTCATTATAAAATGTAATACAATCGACTAGAATGCATTTAGAGCAGATCACTGGATTGTTGATACACTCTTGAAAACTTCAGTTGGAATCACTAGAAAGTAGAATCAAATTAGAAGGAATGACCATAGCTATCTCTCTTACGCAACAGAAAACCTACATCAGCAAACCAAAGAACTGCACCAGAAGAACCTACAGTTGACTGAATCCTCTGTTAATAACCCATGCCTTTACAGATATACAGTATAGGGTATACAGTATAGAGTATACAGGATGAATATATACACAAACAGTTGTATGCTAAGTGACAGAAGGTGGATGCTAAGGTGCTCTGGAGGAGATGATTTTTTTTCTCATCCTGAGGAAGATGGTCCTTAAAGCTTGCAAAATTAATTCATCTCAGCAACTTATAGGGAGCTTGGGAGAAAAAAGAAAAAAAAAGAAAAAAAAAAAAACTGTGATACCGAGGTGAACACACCATGTCCCCACCACTTTCTTCTTCCATCATCAAGAAGACATTGCATTAAAAAATATATATATATATACCTTCCTTGCATTGCATGTCTTACACTGATTTACAACATAAAAAAAGGATCATGCATGGGAGAAATAGATATACTTAATGACTGTCTGTTAGACCTTGCTACACACAATAAATGTAGCAATACACAGGCCCTTTAAATCACACAGCTATGTGGAAAATAACGATCCAATACTTTCCTGTCTAATAAGTTCATATAACCTTGCCTGTTCCCACACCAAGCATTGTTCCTACTGAAAATGCCATTATGTACATATTGAGCATGTACAGTTCATCTACGGTAATGTTGCTCGAGTCCCCCAGCACGTGCTTCCGGTACATCTTTCTCGCCGAGTCAAATTTCTTGCTAAACCACCAATCAGCCTTCTGTTCTGCTTGTGCAAGTTTGCGGTCTAACTTGTCGGCTGCCTTCTCAAGCTTTCTGTCTAGGCGACGTGCTGTGTCTTTCAGTGTGCTCTGCAGTTGGAGAGGAAAGGAAATATTAATTAGGAAAATGAAAAACTATGAGCTTTCCCACTGTTAGTGCTGAAATATATCCACATGTACTGCTACAGCACATAACAACCTCTTACATATTTTGAAAGGACTAAGATGTGACTTGAAAAAAAATGATTTAAACAAATGGTCTCTATTAACTTTGGCCTGTAAATTACATATTCAGTGACATGCAGTTTATAAAACTTCTTTCTGCTCATTAATGTCGTTGTCTAAAATTAAATTAACCCCATGCCAACGGGGATGGCATGTACATACATGCCATGCCCACTGTGAGTTCACTTTATCAATTGTTTTTACACATAGATGGCTACACTTATACCATTTACCCTTTTCCTTGATTTACGAAAATATCTTATATTATCTTATTTTGCTGTTACTAATGTTTATAACATTAAAGTAATGTCTATAATAAAAATAACACCATCAATATTCACAGCATTAGTAAAAAAAAAGTTTTTCCTGCCAATTTGAGGAAAGGTGAAATCAGGTAAGGTCACAAGGTCTACTAATTGACACCTTTGTGGCTAGTTAGATAGTTCACAAAAATTTAAAATGAGCACAGCATTTTCCCCAGCATGTGGTTAATATAATTCATAGTAGTAATTTCTTTACTCAAAAATGTAAGCAAATGACAAAATCATATATTCTGTACAGAAAAATATGTGCAGAATATATCCTTAAAAAAATTAGTTCAAAGCCAAAATTACTGATCTGTAGTTCACTTGATACCAGACCATCTTTTCATAAATCTGACAAAAACTCTAAATCTAATATAATTCAATACACATTTACTTGTGGACCCTTTTCCTCAAGATGTATCCCTAATATCTAATGTTATTCAAGTGATGCACACTGATATATGGACATAAACTGTCATTAAGCATGCCCTTCATAGCAGTGCTGATATCAAAACAAGAAAGGCATCATAATGATTGGATTATTACTACATTATGCATTTTATTCTTCTTATGTGGAAAATATGATCCAAAAACACACATTACTTTTGCAACAAGAGCTCACATGTATTTAAGTAGCTTTTATTTAGTTATTAACTCTTTTGTAGTGGCAAGATATAAAAATTATCACAGCCAACTTAGAGAAATTGAAAGCACATGAGAAATAACTGGTTTCTAAGAAGTTGGATCAGAATTTTCTTCTATACATATATTTGCATGCATTGAAAACTTTATGAAAGACATGAGAGCATGCATGTGCAAACATACAACAAAAGTGAAAAAAATAAACCAAGGAAACTATCCAAATTAATAAGTATCTTCTATATTATCTTTAAAAACTAATCACTAAAATCACATTCAATGAAAAGGAAAATTACATTGAACAACACATATCAAGACACTACAGAAAATTAACTAAAAATTAATTGAAGAAGAGGAAGAAAAAAAAAAATGCTTCAAACGAAACAAAACTTAAACAAACACACCATTATTCTGAATATAAGAACTCCACGAAAATGATCTTAAAACACTTCTTTTCACTCTATCAGAATCATCCTTATTAGTTATCATATATAGAAAGATTATTAGTAAGTTTGTTATAAGGGGAATGAAGGAGACCCATGGAAGAGTTTCCTACCTTGATAGTGATACTGCTTCTCTGTTAGAAGAGGAAAATATAAACAGTTTGGAAACAAAGAAAGGGGGGAAGAAGGGTCTCATTTCCTTACCAAAGAAATTAAAAAATAATAAACAAATAGAAAAGAATAAAGCAAATAAAAATCAGAATGAAAACTGACTACATTTACTCTCCCTTCCTCACACTCTCTCTCTCTCTCTCTGTCTCTCTCAAAAGTCCAGGTAAGCTGCCATAGGAAACCCTTCTATTTTTGGTTTCGGTAACTTACAACCGACTTAGGAGGTAGCATGATACAAGACTTTCTCTTTTTGACTTACAACTGATTTAGGAGGAGGCTATACCCAACAGGACTCCTCCACCAAAGCTTGAGGCCAACACTATGTTCTCGCGGGCAAAACGCACCGCCTGAAAAGATGGAGTTCTTACACTCAACCCTCTTGCACGTAAAGACACAAAAAAATAAAAGTTACCTATAAAAAAATATATATATGATCAGACTGCACCAACAATAATTAAAATAATGCCATTCATGCACTTTAAAATGCACTCATTATTTTCTTTTTCTTTTTATTTATTTTTTTTTAGAAAATATCTGACAATTTTGGTCAATAAAAACTTTTACTACAGACTTAAAACTACATGACAAATTTACATCTTGGCAGTAAGTACAACTACAACAATCTTTCTGGGCAAATAAATAAATATATAACAGCTACAAAACAATCAACAGGATACTAAATACTAAAAACAACTGAATTTCTCTGATTTCTCTCACACTCACTTTCATTCTAATAAGAAAAAAAAAAAAAAAAAAAAAAAAAAAAAAAGCTATCAGAAATTTTGGGTCACTAAACACTACTTATGTAAATATATTTCCAAAATATCAAGAGGACTTTAAACTTACTTATGCCCTATTCTTAAACCACACACACACAAAATGCAAATCCTAAAAAATCAAACATGAAAATACTAATAAAGCTCTCAAACCAAACCATTTAATTGTGACATGTATAGGAGAGAAGACAAACCAAAATTGATACTGACAGGAGGGATGCAAGGGGAGTTTCCTATTGACAGAAAATCTTTCTTGGGAAAAATTATTCTTCTAATGAAGTATATTCTCTGTCTAAGCTTGATCAGTTATGGAATTAAATGGTATTGTTAGGTATAAATTGGAGAAGAAGGAACAATTAATGTAAGGAAAATAGCTTTAATACTTTAATGTCAAAAAAGGAAAGTAATGTCTTTTTATGGCTTCAGATCATGCATTTATCAGTATAATCAATAATAGCTGTGAGGAAGACAGTGATATACAGCAAGTGACACAATGATAAAGAGAATAAGAAAGAAAAACAATCAAAATCAGTGTTAATAACCTAGAAAAAATTTTGATGGTGAGTTCATTATCAATAAAAATCCTCACAAATTAAACTCTGACTCACTGCCCACTGATCTGACATGATAAAATATTTCAATTTGCATTCTTTTTTTACTATTGCATTCTTCATACACCACCCCCACCACACATGCACACACTGTACAAATAGGCCTACACATATAAACACAGCATACCACAAACACACACAGCAAAAATATTCTAAGTCACACTAGAAGAGCCCAAAAATTTCCCCAACATGGAATAACCATACTCTGTAAATCATCATGTCATCAACTGTAATTATCTGGTGCTTCCCATTCACAAACCATTAGAAATTATACACAGAAATCCACCAATTAATATCTATATTCCTATTACACTGTGTGGCTGGCTATTGTGTTTGGAATATCTTGTGAATGATATAATTCTAGAAATAAAACCCCGAACAATGCAATATTCAGGAAAAAAATAGAAAACAGAAGCAAAACTTTCATCAAAATGCTAAACTCAGTAAAATGATATGCATACAACTAAGAAAAAAAGCCTAATATGCAAACAAATACAAAATAAAAATATAAATAAGTGCAAAAATAGAAATAAAAAGTAAAATTTTTTGAAGCAACCCAAAAATGTAAAGGCTAATATAGGAGCTTTGTAAACAGTACCACAGTCCAAGTTCAGACAAGCAAGTTATTCCAACTCAGGCTAAAAATTGAATCCTTCTTATTCTCTTTGGTGATTATTCTCACAATAAATTCATCCCGGCAATGTAAAACTCATTTAAAGAGCTGAAGGAGAAATAAATAACCAACTATAGTAATACTAGCGGGAGTAGCATGACAGCTTATTTAAGTCCCTAATACTAACATTTCAGTCTAAATAATTCATAGATGATTGTGGAGGGGGGGGGGGATCTACTTGCTATCTCCTAAAAAAAAGAAAAAGAAAAAACACAAACAGACACAAAACACAACAGACACACAGGAGCAAACAAAAGGCATTCTTTCAACAACAATCATCATACATGCATAAAAAAACATAACAAATCACACACCCATAAAAAAAAACATACCTTCTACATACTCAAATATAATTACACCATAAAGAAAAAAAAAACAAATTCAAGATTCAGACACATGAAATAACATCAAACAAATAAACAAAACAGAATGGTAACTTTACAAATAAATAAAATAAAATTAACCAAATAACAAAAAAATAAAACAATAAATAAAAGAACAGTAACGCATAGGTCCATTCTCACCTGATCTGCCGCACTGCCATTCACGTTGGATTCCACTTCGCGTTTCAGCTTCTTGGCATTCTTCTCGAGGTCCTTGTTGAGGCGGTTCCAGTCGACCTGTGAGGGAGACCGAGACTGGTTTGAGGATTGTGGAGGAGGAGGAGGAGGAGGAGGAGGAGGAGGAGGAGAAAGTAGATGGAGGAAGAGGGGAGAAAAGAAGAAGAAGGAGAAGAAATATAAGAGAATGAAGAAAAGGATTAGGAGGAATAGGAGGAATAATATAATAATAATGGTAAAATCAATAACAATAATAATAATATTACAAGTAATGTTAAAAAAAGAAGAGAACAAAGGAAAGGAAGAGTGGCAGGAATAACAACAAAAAGTCTGCTTTAACACTAAATATTTGCCATGAGTCCATGACTGACAAGTGATGTAAACAGAAATATAAGAAATACATCACTATTCTCTTACTTCTAAATCTGTATCCTTATAACGCTATATATGTTAGTGACATACGGGTCTTACAGCATAAGCATTTGCTGTGTTAATCAATATGACTGATTGCAGATTCCATTTTGCCATAAATTAGCCCCATGGATCTGGGTGACGTGACTCGAATGCAAAAGACAAAACAAATATTCACAGAAAGAAAGAAGAAAAAAAGAAAGAGAAAGAGAGAGAGAGAAAAAAATCCCTATAGAACATTAGAAAGAGGAAGAAGGGGGGATGAAGAAAAAATAATGTACAACCTATCAAAACTATCAACTCATACAATATGTCTACATATCTCTTTAAATCAAAGAACAGCAGAGAAAAGGGACCTACTTTAATGTATCCTTTGTGAGCTGCCAGCTGCATGATGATCATGCTTCCTCCTACAACAGTTGCAGCCACCTTCCCTACTTTCATGGACAGGTACCCAACAACCCTGAGAAGAAGAAACGAGAGAACGTTTATTTCTTCTGCTTATCCTCGTTTCAGCAGAGACTAGATATTGTGGGTTCCAGTTCTACTCTTTCAGTATCTTAAGTGGTGGTGCTAATTAAGAAATATAATTGCATGAATTATAACACTCTTGTATATCTCTTAAAATATCATATAAATCATATAATTATCTCATGGATCGTATCATTGTCATACAATACTAATTATGTACATGATTTAGAGTAATAAGTTATATCAAAAGCAATGAAAATAAATGTGGCAGGACCTTGTATTTGACTATGTGTTCTCCTTGAAATTAATATATTATCCATTCAACATACATGCTGATTTGAATATACACCAGAACGTTAGCAGAAGATTTTCTTTCACCTTGAAGTTTAGGAAAAACCTGGGATGCCCAAATGATGATCATGAACTTGATAATATCCCTAGGCAGGTGATGCTGCATAGTATGTCTTGACAAGATGGGAAACAACACAATTCACTTATTTATTCTCTACAGTTCCTAATGCTTTCTCCCCCTCATTGTCTTCACTCTAGCTTCAAGTGAGATCCTTTCTTTCTGACCCTGAATAAAGAGTGTGGACGTTATGCCACATAGATTTCCACTGAGGGAATTTGTGCCTCCAATATGAGTATTGGAGTATTTGTGAGTGTGTGGCAACATCTTTGAGACCCGTGTGTTGGGTATCCTCTTGATATGCCATTTAACATTTGGGCAAGTTCTTTTCTACTCCCTTCCTGGATCTTGAGGGTCAAGTAACACACACTATCTTACATATCTGATGCTGATAAACTGGGCAATGTATCCTTCTCAACATATGGTTTGTGTTTTTCTTTCCATGGTTGTTCTAGACATTGATTTTGGGGTAGTCTCTGGTATATTTTCCATTTACTTTTCTCTTCCCCTTGGCTGCCTCCTTGATTTCAATGCTTTCACTTTAAGCTAAGGAGCACCACATTCTAAGACTCAGTCCTCTATATACCACATTGTAGTTTCTCCTTCTCTACTTGGTATTTAAGTTTTCAGAGATTTTGTTTTGCTTGTCTCTTGCACTTAGACTACAAAATCCTTCAGTTATACACATCTTAATTACATTCAGTGTTATGAACTTATATAGTACTGATGTGTTACAGTAGTTAATGTTTAGGATTTAATTTTTTATACAAATTACATTTAAAGTCTGTACATTTCTGATATAGTCTCGAAGATCATGCATATATGTTGTGCCTTATCTTACTTGTCCCTGAGTGTAAATGGATAATGAACATGCTCTCCAATGAATAAATCACACTACTTCCTGTCTTTTGGGAGTTAAAGGCATGGTATGGTTAGAGGACTTTATTCACTGGTGATCTCTTGGTCCTTACTGATAAAGTATGTGGGATTTCCCCATCAGACATAGGGACAATCTTTTTCACACCAGGTATTGTAGAGGAGCACATAAGAAGGCCAGATTGAGAGCAGCTCATTAGGGAAATGGAACCCTCTTTCATTTCTCAGGAGACACTCACTCACTTAGGTTCATTCTTTTCTATTCATGTTCAATTGCTTGACTGTTCTGTGCTAAACACTTGAGACTTTGCCTTTGGTGTGTGCTTAGTTAGAGCGATACATCCATTACAATGATCTTAACCCAACCACCCCTGATTTATATTCTGTCCCCTGTAGTTTTTGGTGAATTTTGTTGCAACAGATGGCTCCACACGTGCTCAGCCAGCAAGGAGTCTATCAGTAGGCCCTAGTTACCAATCCTGATTTCACCAGTCCTTGAATTGGCGGGAAAATGTGTTTCTTATTAATATTATTGCTATCGATACTGTTATGATAGTTACTGAGGTTATGATTATTAAATTATTAAAATATTTTAGACAGTGAAATGATACAAAAGACCCTTTCCTAAAGTTAAGGAAAAGGGTAAACAGATTAGATAGATAGCTCTAATAACTGGCTATTTGGTGATTAAGAACTTGTAGAGCCATCTATGTGTAAATACAATAAATAAACTTGGCATGTATTATTGGGCGATTGGGTTAATTACGCCATTGTCCTCGATTACTGCACAAAGTATGCAAAGTATCCATTTCCAACATTTCTACAGTTTGGGGAAGTGGATTTGTAAAAAAGTGTTTTTCACTCCCCTCCTTGGCCTGTTCTATATATGACTGTCCAGGTCACTCAGTTTTAGCAGATATATTCCCTAGGCGTGTGTGAGGTTCTTCTCATGCTCTGTGTCTGGTTGCAGCAGTAAGGCCTGTTGTTGCTTCTCCTATAATGATCACTAGTATGTGGCCAAATTCCCTGCATCTGTGCTTCTCTTTTCACTTGGCCATGACTACGAATTGGCCATTCTGGGGAGTTAATGATTGGATCCCTTTGTTTCCCACCGTCTTGGTAAGACATGCGATGATGCTCTACCTACATTATGATAAACTCCACTGAATATGGTTTGTTCAAGACCTTTGATTTGAAATGCCAGACCTCTATGAAATGAGAAGAGCTTGCAATCTCTCTAATCCATTGTATAAGTTACATAAATGATATTTATATAACACATGAAAAATATTTGCCCATTCAAGGCCATCATTAGCCAACCACATGTTGACTAATGCTTCCACCATGGACTACAAAATCCTCTCGCTGGTGCAAATCTATACTTTTTTCACTTAGTCTCAAGACCGCAACAGAACGAGGGGCTAATCCACCCACTAACACACTAACCATCCTGACACTCCGCCCACAACCACTTGCTTGGTCACCGGTTCCCTGGTCAAGTCCTGCACAAACTGCTGGATCCACGACATCTTGGAGCGCGCTGTGCCTCTCACGTCAAGAACCTCGAACTCTTCCTCGGCGGGGTTTAGGGGCTTGGCCTGAGTCGCTCCTCCCATAGCACAGCTTACACTAAGGTGGGATTACCGTGTCTGTGACAAAAGAGAAATGGATTAGTTCAGAAAGCTGCATTCACCTGAGATAAAGAAAAGGGAAAACCAAT